ACCAGCAGAGTATGCACCCCTAGAGGGGTGGGTCACCAAGTCACCTGAGTCCTGGGGACCGCTGGCCATAGAGATGGGGCAGAGCTTCTCCACATCTTGTCCATCCAAGCCCACCCTCCAGTTTAGCTCTCTCCACTCCTTCCACCTCCCATGTCACAGGGCTTGTTTCCAGTTTTGTAGGATCCAAAGTGGAGATGGCTCAGAAACAGGAGGAATTATTCATATGATGCTGGTGACTCTGAATCATTTCAGAAGAGCTCTGAGAATACCTACGCCCAGGATAAGAGGGGTTTAAAACCAAAGAAAGAACACCCTCCCAGCATTCCATGAGCATTGTCTGAATGGGTTATTAAGGAATAACTACCTAAATCATTAAATAATAATTTAATAAAGGATAAAGCTAAAGCTAAATTTCAATGAATCACTTCATATATTTAACTCCCAGGATTATGCTTGAATCCAAAAGAAATATTTTAATTTATACACACACACACACACACACACACACAAACACACACGCGAAATTATTAAGTTCCTAATATATGCACAAACTCTGCTTTTTTATTTTTGGTATTGTTTTATCTCATTTTAATCCTCACCTAAAAAGTCATTGCCTAAATTATTTCAAATATTAATCAGAGGTGGTCATTCTGTCTTAATAGGTTACTAGTTTTATATTTTGTTTACAAGCAGAGAAGTTGCAGCAGAGTATGAAATCTAAAACATTACTCAAAAAAAGACTTCCTGTCTGGGTTTAACCATTGGAATTATGTGGCCATTAAAATATTTCCAAACTCTGCAGCTCACCTGATGAGATAGAGGGAAGGGGCATCAGGGATAGAAATGAGGAAGAAAGAAAGAGAAGGAACAGATTGAGTCTCAAAGGCAAAGTCTGGTTTCTCCAATGTTGAGGAAGGTCTACCATGCTTACTGACTGGGAGTGGCATGGTCATGAGTGGGTAACTTGAACTTCAAATGCTCCCAAGAATATTGGTAAAATTCCAAGAAGACCATGTGTTAGAGATCTGCTATCACTGCCAGAGAGTTCTTTTTCCCTATGATTAAACCAAGCATTCATCAAGCCATGTGGGAAAGGTAAGCAGGGCCCTTAGCCCTGAGAGGTACAGCATATAGTGGAAAGATTGTTTTTCCATAGAGATTTTGGGCTGTATCTTAGTCCATTTGTGCTACTATAACAGAATATCAACAGACTGGATAATTTATGAAGAAGTTTATTTCTCACAGTTCTGAAGTCTGGGAAGTGAAAGATCATGGTGCCTGAATCCAATGAGAACCTTTGTGCTATGTCATCCTATGGTGGAAGGTAGAAGAGCTAGAGTACACATGTGCATGCAAGAGTCCACTTTATAATGAAATCACTCCTCTGATAACATCGTTCATATACTCATGAAGGCAGAGCACCCATGTTGTGTCCTACTCTCTTAAAGGTCACAATGGGAATTAAATTTCAACATGAATTTTAGAGGGGACATTCAACTTTCAAATGCAGATTGCATTACTCTGCAACTTGTTATGCAGGAAAAATTTACTATTGTTCATCTAGTTATGAAGGGGGGAAACTGAAGAGAAATTTCTATGGGGATGTGCACAGTGAGGGAGACTCCAGGGACTGCAAATTAGAGAGGGGAGCTAGGCTAAGAAAACTTTTGTTTCCTTTTGCAGTGTTCTCTGCCGGAGCATTGTGATCGATAGCATGAGCCGCATTGCTGTGTATGAGCTATTGGCAGATGCAGACCTTCAGCTCAAGGTGCACATGGCCCGATTCCTTCTGGTATGCTTCTGTTTTGCCCATTGAACTTTTAGAAGCATTTTGTTGCTATCGATATATTTTTTAAAGCTTATTAAAATTTTGGCTACAGTTTCATTACATCTATAAAATTAACCTGTGAAGAATTGCCAGCTTAATATTTATTCTTCCCATCTAGAGCCTGACTTGCTTCTTTATTTATTTGAGCCATTTTTTTATATCGCCCAATAAAATTTAGTCATCAAATTCGAACACATCTCACAAAATCCCATTTCATTAATTTTTATTCTTTGTTATCAAGAATGAAATATTCTTCGTCATTATATTTCCTACTTTATTTTTATTGCCAGAGTACAGGAATGCCATTGGTTATTGTTTATTTATTTTCCCATTTTACTATGCTATTACCTCTTATTTATAGCTTTTGGCAAAGTCTATCAGAAAGTTAAAGTTTTTATCAGCTAGTTTTTTTTAAAAAAAAACAAAAACTTCTTTTTCAGAAAAAGCATTATTTAGTTAATTGGATATATAAGCTTAAGAGTTAAACTATGAAATGGAGCCAAGGAAATAACCTTCCTGTTCAATCTTGTAATGGTACACCTTCAATATTAAGAGACCCTGGGATCTGTGTAGGAAGGGATGACCAGATTCACAATTGGTGTCTCAGGGAATTTAAGATATTTTAAGCATGAAGCAACTTCCTGTTACTGCTGATATGAAGCATGTATCAAACCCTGGGAAATGCCAGGCTAGACTGTACAAATGCACTTAAATATCTATGTCAGTATTAAAAAAATTGAACTTAAGAGTAGTTGAAATTTGATTTTTAAAAATTATTATTATAAAATTACAACCCTCTTTTTTTAAAAAAAATTATAACAATCCAAGCAAATCAAACCTCTTTATCTTTAGAAATGACCATGAGGCTGACTCATCATCTTTTAATCATAGGTTTTGCCCTTTTTGATTTTTCTTTGTTTTCTGTGCTAAGGATATAAATGTCTCACTAAGCAAGCACTCTACCACTGAGCCATGTCCCCAGTCCCGTGTACCTCTTTTGAAATAGCCTGCTGTCATTCAGGTTCAAGGCTGACTAGAATAGCAGGTGCATGAGGACAGAGGCAGTCTATCTTGGTCTTGTAGGACCTCCTATCTTAATGATGTTCAGTAAAAACTTTTGTTGTTACTGAATAGGTTTGCAATCCAGCTGATAATACAATTTTGTTTTTTAAAATATACTGGTACATTAATGATTGAGTTTCTTGTATCACTCAAAAACTACCTCTGCAGATAGATCCTTCAACAAAGTCCAAGGATACCTGAGATTCAGGTCATTTTTTTTTTTTTTATCAAGAAGGGTTATTTCTACCAAGAACAGCTCTCTGAATAGCAATACAGCTCTCTGGTCACGCACCACATTGCCCGCTTCCTGTTAGTGAGTCTCAAGAGCCAGCACAATCTTGTCCAATCTTGTAATGGTACATCTAGAAAGGAGAGAAAAAAAAAGAAACAAGACAAAACTTCCAAAACAGGCATCAAAGGTCACTGAAAGAGTTTTTCTTTTTTGTAACTTTTACATGATTTTTTTCAGTTTTATTTATTTTTCCAACAGCAATTTAGTCAGTAGTGTATAACACTAAAAAAGGATGTTACCAATGGTGTCACCATTTTGAATTTTCCATTGTATGACGGCATTGTATTTACTACTTTAATGACTATAATTTTTCTGAATGAATGTTATGATTTGGCCATACCACTGTTTTGCTGGTAACCGTGGGTACCTTTTCACATTGTATTTGCTCGACAGCATCAGATTTGTCTCATACCCATTGAAGAATTCTCAGCTGAATACTTGAGGCCTCAAGTCCACTGTATTGCCAGCTACGGGCCATTGGTTAATCAAAGGTAATGTGTTTTCTTCCTTTGTTTCTTACTGATATCTAAAGGATATTGTGATGCTTGTAAGGCTGAAACTCTATACACATTGAATATCTCTTATCCAAAATGCTTGGAACCAGAAGTGTTTCAAATTCCAGATTTAAAAAAAAAAATGGAATATTTTCATATATATGAGATACATCAGGGGGATGGGACCCAAGTCTAAACACAAAATTCATTTATGTATCAGGCATAGAGTATATACATAGCCTGAGGGCAATGTCTTATAACATTCTTATTTTACCTGAGTTTGGACTGTGACCTGTCTCATGATGACAGGTGTGGAATTTTCCACTTGTGGCATCAGGTCAGTGTTCAAAAAGTGTTGGATTTGCAACCTTTGAAATTTTGGATTAGGGATGCTCAACCTGTCCTTCAGAAGTGATCGTAAGCTCAGGTGTGGAAGTCTGGTGATGGATGTTAAAAAGAGAAAAGCCAGCAAAATTATTTTTCTCAGCTGTCATTTTTTTCCCCAGAATTCCATAACTCCAGGAGGCTGACACAGTGGTACCAGGGGAAATAGTTAAGCCTGGCCCTGGAGGGCAGGTCCCTGTGTTCTATTCTGAGCCCTCATTTTGCTTCAATCCTTTAATCTCTATGTCTGAGGCTCTGTATTCACAAAACCACAAAAATAATGAGCTATCTCACAGCTATGTTATCAGAATTAGCTCATGCTTATTGGGGTTTTCATAGGCTTGCTTTGCTGTAGACTCAAAAATAATTAATTTATAGACACAGTCATTTGCCTTGTGTGTGTGGTTAGGACTGTAAAAATGGCCAACCCCGTGCAGATCTGGCTGTGCCTAAAAGAAATACGTATTTGTTTCTCTTTTTGTTAGGTGGACATTTATAAAAAAGAGATGAATAATATTGTATTGGTTGCATTTTAATTCTGAAGGAAAAGGATGTTTCAGTAATTTTCTGTTTCACTTATCTTACTTCAAAATAGAGGTCTGCTTTCTGTTTACACTAGTTGTATTAAGCAGGCAGCTGGAATATACTTGGCCAATAGACTTTACTGAGTATCACTATATAAAGATTTCCAGTGGGCTGGGCTGTAGGTCAGTGGTAGAGCACCTGTCTAGCATGTATGAAGCCCAGGAATCCCTAGCGCTGCAAAAATAAAAATTAAATAGAAATTTAAAAATAAAAAGATGTCTAGAATCTTATGGTTTCCCTGACATGAGAACCCTTCAATAGTTCACTCAGTCCTGTATTCAAAGTCTTGTCTCTTTGCTCCATGGACAGCTCGGCAGGTTCTTGATAATTGTGAAGTAAGATTTTTATTTTATTTATTTATTTTTTTGTGGTGCTGAGGATTGAACCCAGTGCCTCACACATGCTAGGCAAGTGCTCTACCACTGAGCCAAAACCCCCAAACTGTGAAATAACATTTTTGAACATTGTATTTTTCAGTGCCACCTGTGTCTCCCTGACTCATGAGACTCCTCCCACAGCGTTAATTTTGGATGTCCCCAGTGGGAGACCATTTTCTCTCCTGCCCCAGGAGAATTCTCCTTCTGCAAATGTCATACCTGGAATTACCTTACAGGCCCCACAGGTAAGACTCACATCTAGTGTGCTGTGTCTAGACCAGTGTTTCTTAAAGTGTGGATCCTAATCAGCAGCATCCATGAAACCTGGGAGATGGTTGGAAAAGCATATTCACCGGCCCACCCCAGACTCCCTGAATCAGAAGCCCTGGGGGCGGGGCTCAGCAATCTGTATTTTAACATACTCTCCAGGTGCATTTTTTTTTCACATAAACTATATAATCACAGGACTTTAAAAGTTTTGGAGTATGGAATACACTTAACACTCTGGTATTATTATGTTCTTATAATCCCAAGGATGGTCTCTGTCCATTCAAATAGCAGAAGGTTTGGAAATTAACAGGACCTCAGAGATAAAATTGAATAAGATTCCAGATGGGAAAGGTAGCCAAATAATAGCTAAGAGAAATGGGTTGAAATCAAATTGATCTAGTTCTAGTCCTGGTTTGTTCATTAAATTAGTGAATCATTAAATTAGCGACTTCCTACAAGTTAGTTACTCTCTTAGTTATAACTTTTGTCTTGAAAAACGAGGATAATCTTTTATTGCTATTGTGTTGTTATTGCTGCATTTTTTTTGAGAGTTAAAAGATTATTAGGCACCAAGTACAGCTTTTCTGGAGAGAGCAGGGCTCACACTCATGATTAAGCAAAAGGAGGAGTGTGGTTCTGGATTTTGTTGTGGTTGATGGGAGTGGGGAACACAGTCCACGTCCCAAGAGCTGGAATTTGTGTGGTTGGACTTTTCACCCATGCCAAGGGAGGGGCCCTTGGGTTTTCTTATCAACTTGTCCAGGTGTGCGGTAAAAGGAATTGAAAGCTGTCAGTAGTCAAACATCAAAGATAGAGTCAGACTCCTTATTACCCAGGTATTCTGAGTAGGTGCTGTTTTGAACATACTCCTGCAGCCTTTTAGCAAAAGTATTATAGGTACTAGCTGAGAATGCAACTTCTGGGTTATGTTTTTGACATTGGCAAATACTGACAAACAGTTTTTCAATGTAATTTACCAAATTACACCCCCTCCAACAAAATGTATGGTTATATCACAATTGTTTGTCCATTCTGTAAGTGAGAGATGCTTGGTTTGTGTCCAGTTTTGATATTTGCAAATAAAGCTGCTACAAACATTCATGTGAAGGTTTCTTTGGGAATACACCTTGTCATTTCGCTTGGGTAAATACCTAGGTCATTTTTGGTTTTTAAACTGTTCTAGTCCGTTTTCTGTGGCTACCATGAAGTACCCGAGTTTGGGTAATTTATAATGAGAAGAGGTTGCTTTAGCTTTTGGTTCTGGAGGCTGGGAAGTTCAAGGTCAGGTGGCCACATCTGGCAAGGGTCTTGTCCTGCGACATCACATGGCAGAAGATACCACATGGTGGGTACATGTGTGACAGTGACAAGTGAGCACCTGTAGAAGAGAGGAGGGGACAAAGGGGGCAGGTACTTTATGGGAACCCATATTTGTAGTTTCTCAGCCCATCCTGGGAGGGCAAGAGCTCACTTCTGGGAGAGGGCATTTATGTGTTTATGGGGACTCTGTCCCTATAATCTAAGGACCTCCTCTTAGGCTCTACCCCCCAACACAGTCACACGGAGGAATTAAATCTCCACCTGAGTTTCGGTGAGGACAAACCATACTCGTATGATAACAACTTCTAAATATTCTGATCATTTTGTAGCTCTTCAGCTTAAGGGGTTCTCACTGGGAGTTTTTATTACCCTCCTTTTTTTTTTCTCCCTTTTAGAGCCAAGTGACCCTGAGAGGACTCGTACCACACCTGGGCCGCTATGTTTTTGTCATCCATTTTTATCAAGCAGCGCACCCAACGTTTCCCGTCCAGGTGTTTGTGGATGGAGGGCGGCTGTGGTCAGGTGAGCACCATGAGCAGGTCCATGAGCAGGTGAGCCTGGCATTGTCCCTGCGGTCACATGACGGGAGCTCTTCTCTCCTTGCCCAGGTTCCTTCCGTGCCTCCTTTTGTCCCCATGTGCTGGGCTGCCGGGATCAAGTGATCAGTGGAGGCCAGGTTGAGTTTGACATCTCAGAGCCTGAGGTGGCTGTGACTGTGAAGGTTCCGGAAGGAAAGTCCTTAACATTGGTACGTTCTGCTTGTCCCTCGACTTCCCTCGTCCTGTGGCTTCTCTGGCCGAAGGGTTCACGGCAACGGTTGTTCCAAGGAGTTGAAGTCATGTTTATAGAATTATCATTTTACAGCTTTGACCCAAAAGAAAAAATCATGTGACAATTAAAATCAAGGAAAATGGGGATGAAAAAAAAGCAAAGTGCTCATATTCACCACCACTGCCCACTCCTCATCTGACCAGTCTCTCGCGCCCAAGCATTTTACACTTCTTGCTTCTTTTGACCTCTGTCGCTGCTTTCTCCCCATTTTATGTCTCTTTCCCTCATACTCCCTTGATAGTTCTCTGTCCTTCTCATTTCTATATGTTGGAGTTCCCTCAGGTTCAATGCTAAGCCTCCTTTCTATCTTTACTCTTTGGATGACATCATTAGAGCCTGTTTATTCCACTCTTAGCCATAATACCCACATCTCTAAAAGCACCCACCCCCTGAACTCCACGCCCAATGTGAGATCATCTGCTGCCAGAGAGCTCAGGAGCCTGTCGCACTTGGCCTGCTACCTGCACAGCTCCGGCTTCTCCTACCCTGTTCATTACCTCTAATGATGGTCCCAATGCTCAGATGGGATGACTCCCCCTTCTGCATCTGCTCTGAGCCATAACTTGGCACTCTGCCATGTCTCTTGGTCCTATCCCTTCTATTCTAGCACCAGGTTGACAATCTGTTCTCTCACTCAGACTGGCCAGAACTTCCTGCCATGGTCTCCCTGTCTGGGTTCCTTTCCCTCCAATCCCTCCTCCCCTCTCCTGGCTGAAGTGGATCTGATCATGCTGAGACTCAGCCACCTTTTCCGGAGTCCTCACCTCCGATAGCCTACAGTGCACATGCTTCACTCCGGTGACCAGGGCCCTCCCGACCTCCTCCTAACTCCTCTTTCCTCCATCTCTCCCACTATTCTGTTCTTCTATGCTTCCCCCTCCATTCCCCCCACCACATTCTCTGGCCAACCTCTCCATTCACAAGCTCCCAGACATGTCATTCACTCTCACGCCACTAGGCTCTCTCACACTGTCCCCTTTTCTAGAATTTTCTACTTACTTCTGTGCCTGGAAAAATACCGTTGACCCATTAGCCTGGCTCTGATGTAGTCGTTTTCTCTGCCATCCTTCCAGAGAAGCAAGAAATGCTTCGTTTCCCAGGCTCCGCTCTGTGTGGCGCTCTATGCTCAGGCCTTCTGACCTCTCTCTGAGGATGCTATTGCCCCAGGGCACAGAGAAGACTAACTATATTCATTTTTGTTCTATTTATTTTTTTAAACTTGGTGATTTAGATGTGTTGGTCCTGTGTAGACTTAGATTGCTTATTTTGAGAATCCATTATTAAAAATCACAGAGAAATTTAAAAATTGACCTTAAAAAAAAAAGGTGAGAGGGAGTAGATTGAGTGTGCATTTAAAAATTTCATTCTTTTGTTCCTGTGGGGAATACCAAGAAAATGTGTGTTTGGCTATTGCTGTATCCATTTCATATCCCTGTGCCTAGAACATTGCTTGGCACATACTATTTGCAAGTATGTATTGAGTTGGTAAATACAAGAATAGTAGGCAGTCTGAAAGCTATAAGCTGGTGAGTTGTTGATTAAAGATGTTTGCAGTTTCTCACAGCATTTGTTAAAGAATAGTCTGAGTCATACTTTTAAAGACTGGGGCTATGATTTTTCACTCTTTAGTACTAAGTAAACTTCTGGGGCAAGCCCAGAAGGTTCTACATTGATTGATAGGCTCCACATGGGTTCTGACACTTCAGTTTGCTTACCTTTAAAATTTGGAAAACAACAATCCCTGGAGATCCAGGGGAATCCCAGGCATGGATCATATGAAGCCCTGGCCATGTTAACAGGTCGGACTCCCTCCAAGTTCCCCTGATCCAACTGGCACTCGGCTGGTGCTCCCCTGAACAGACGTACCAAGTCTGCCCAGTGCTCAATGTTTTCTATGTAGCAATGTGGATTGAGCCATTAACCCTGATTTGGGTTTGATCTTTTGATTCTTTTTTCATAAATCCTGCATCATTAGGACTTGGGTTTAACGGTCAGGGATATATATAATCTTAGTGAAGAGCTAGAGTTGTGTCACGTTGTTGCAAATCCAAAAATGCGTTGATGGGTTTCTTTTAGGTCCGCGTTCTAGTGGTGCCTGCAGAGAATTACGACTATCAAATACTTAACAAAAAATCGGTGGACAAGTCCTTTGAGTTTATCACCAATTGTGGAGGAAACAGTTTTTATATTGAGTAAGTGTCACCATGGCCAGGCTTGGGAATGCATGGGGTATGCCCACAACCCAGAACCAAATGAGATCCAAGGAGAGGCTGGTCCTGGATCTTCCTCCACCACCCAAGTAAGTCTCAGGACCTAGCAGGGTAATGCTTTTCCTCTGCACCCACAGTCCTGGGACAGACCTCTCCATGTATCATCTGGGCAGCGTGGCCAGATGGAACTCAGCAGAGGTCAACCCTCCCAGCTGGGATCTGAGGCTGCTTAGGAGTAGCTCTTCCTCTTTTGCAGCTTCCTGTCTACCACTGCAGAGTACTAAAAGATAACCACACATTGCCCTCCACTAAGCAGACGTCAGCCCTGATCCCCTCCTATCTGCCCAAATGGGGAGCATACAGAGATACAGCCTCCCTTCCCAGTCCTCTTATATCCCTGAATACTGAGAACAAGGACAGCCAAGTATGAGGTCTTCCATGGGCATCAGTGCCCACCTGTAGGTTTCCTGAAGGACCCATGAGCTCCCAGAGGCTCTGGAGAGGCATGTCTCCTAGACAGCAATAATAAAAGCCAAGGCTCTGGCCAGGCACAGTGGCACATGCCTGTAATCCCAGTGGCTCAGGAAGCTGAGGCAGGATGATCGAAAGTTCAAAGCCAGCCTCAGTAAATTAGCAAGACCCTAAGCAATTTAGTGAGACCCTGTCTCTAAATAAAATACAAAATAGCACTTGGGATGTGGTTCGGTGGTCAGGTGCCCCTGAGTTCAATCCCTGGT